AAAATGAAAGAAACCGGAGGTGATAAAATCAGTCATGACAATGAGGACAATAGCAACAACAACAACAACAACAAAAACTTTCATTAAATAACTGAAGAACACAAAACACGATGCGTAAGGAGAGATGAGAAAAAACACAAACTGAGATTGTATGAGTTAACAATGACAAGGAAGAAAAAACATTAATCACACACACACACACACGTAAGTGGGATTTGCAGTTATTAATGAATATAATACTTTTCTACTCATCAGAAAATAGATATTTTTATTTTTAAGAAAGAATATTATGATTACTCTGGTGCAGTTACAAACAAATGATAAATAAATCCTGTGCGTCGGTGGCATAGCGGTTAGGACGCTCAATCCCCGGCCGGCGCACTCCTTTACCTCACTCACCCAGAAGTAAAGCTGGTGAAGAGGAAAGGTTGGGCAACCCCATCCTGTAAAAAATGAACACTGTTACAGAAACTTCAAGCTTCTAGCTTGAAGCCCTATGTTCCAATAGGAACGTGAAGGAAAAAAAATAAATCCACATATGAAGGCGCAAACCAAAAAGCTGACAGAACACACAACGAAGACAGGACTTCACGTGAATATGGAGAGGAAGGAGGTGGTGAAGATTTCTAACCACCACCAACAACAACAATAACAACAAGCACTAATCAATATAAGTGGGAAAAATCTAAAAAAGAAGTCATCTAGTTCATTCATTTAAGCAGGTGGAAAAGATGCAGATATCTAAGTTAGAATTGGAAATGCAAGACAGAAGTACGACACTCTGAAATCCTTCTGGAAATCTACTGCACTAAGCATAAGGATCATTAAGATTTAGATTTTCAGGACTAATATCGATCAATTCAGTGCTTCTATATATATATGGTTCGGAGAAACGGAGAACACCTTCACCAAAAGCATTTTTAACAGCCAGACGTTTCACGTTCACTTCACACAGAAGGTCGGATAGCCAGAAAAGTTAACGAACTAACCAACGACTTATTGCCTAACAAATATTCCGAAGGAAATGGAGATAGATTGGGCATGCTCTGAAAAAAGACCGATGAGTCACGTCACAACGCCAGCCAAACCCTCGAGTGGAAGTCAAATAGGAAACAACAAGTTAGGCATCCGAGGGTGACATAGGGAAGATTATGTAAGAGAGGGAATGAAAATGCTTATGGGAAATCATGGAGTCAGTTTAAAAAAAGACTGCATGGAAAAAACAGTGAGGTTAAGGTATGCTGCTGGAGTTTTATGCTCTACTAGGAAAGCAAGGTAACAATAAGAATAATGACAGTCACTTGGGTGAGTAGTATATAAGGTGGGAAAAAAGTGTATGAATAAACTAGTGAAAAAAAGAATAAAAGTAGATTTTGAGAAACGATGACGAAAACTGTAAAGATTAGACAGTGAAGAATAATTAAGCTTTTACGACTGAAAACCAGCTTTAGCGCTTCTTTTATTCTAAAAAATATGTATATATAATGAGTCATGTGTTGATTGAGGAGAATAGAAACAATGAGAATGAGCTCTAAAATAATTCCCATGTGTAAAAGGCAATCAATTCTACAAACTTTTAAAGAATCTCGAAAAGATTCAGTGGATTCATGTGAATAACGGCATTTTAAGAATAAAGGACAGTGGTGGATAAAACCAGACTTCCCTTAGTTAAAATTTTTTGGGAATGTTACAACAAGACGAATGCACCATACAACTATTACAATAAAAACTTTAGTTGAAAAAACGAGACAGAAGAAGAAAGATTAGTGAAATGTTGTGCGAGAAAACTCCCAAACGAAACAAAGATATATTTAAAAGAAGTATATAGAAATATCTGCCTATGAAGGCAAAATGAAAGTTGTACTTGAGATGAGCGATACAGAACTTTCCATATAACATTGTCCGTTTATACTTCATCCTAGTTTGGGAATCATCGGGAGTACGCATCCACCCACCACCAGGGTTCGAACCCAGAACCTTCCGGTTACAAGGCCAGAGAACTCGTATACCATTCAGCCACTGAGAACCGATTCAATGGCTCATGAATTCTAACTTCTACCAATTCGTGATTTAGCGCGACTCCAACCATTGCCGTTGGTGGGACGTCCATCCACACACGTGACATCTAATTGGACCTCACTCGTCACGACTTTTCACTAGAACTCCAGGAAACTCCATCCTGTGGCAAGTCACTAGCGAGCATCAGATTAATTTTCTATAGTTTGGTTTGTAAGGGTTAGTTATGTGGCTGAATGGTATACGAGCTTGCTTTGTAACCGGAAGGTCCTGGGTTCGAACCCTGGTGATGGGTGCGTACTCCCGATGATTCCCAAACTACGATGAAACAGCAGCTGTCCAGTACTCCCTGGTTTTCAATGTTTCTTTAACTGATATCAATCCACGATCAACCCGTAAAAACACAGCTAACCCTTATAGACCAAACTATAGAAAATTGTCCGTTTATAATTCGCTGAAATTTTTAAATGACAACAGTGAAATATGGAAAAGGCAAAACACACATAGAATAGTCGAATGGTGTAAGACATTAAATTACTAGGAGAGGAATCAGAGTAACATCAAACAGTAATGTGATAAAGTGAGTAAAGTACGGTAGTTCTGTTTCCGAGCTTTTGCAATTTTAGTATTAACCATAAGTGAATGCAGTTCATCACTTAATGTTTTCAGATCATTTAAAATATTTGACAAAGTTCCGGAATTTATCCACTTTTTCCTCCCTTCCTTATAATTTAACTTGTTTCGGTAACTAACTGATATTAATAATTGATCTATACGGCATTTCTATCACCTTTTAGAACATTATTTAACTGTGCAGCTTTGATGAGAAGTTCCGAAAAGAACATTGTCTACTGGCGGCCTGTCAGGATATCTTAACAATGTTCTCTTATAGTGCTTGACTTACTCAAACTTCGTGTGTTTCGGTGGCACAATAGTTAGGACGCTCGCCGACCATGCACATGGTCCGGGGTTCGATCCCCGGCTGCCAACGCACTCCTTTACCTCGCTAAGCAAAAATAAAGCTGTTAAAGAGAAAAGCTTGGACATGAGGCTAGCAATCCCATCCTGTAAAAATAAACACTGCTACAGAAACTTCAAGCCTCTAGCTTGAAGCCCTATGTTCCACTGGGGAAAGTGAAGGAAAGAAAACTCTAAACTTCACTTAAACTTTCGAAAACAATCACTAAAGCAGTTTCATGCGCATCAAATCCTTTGTTTAGTGCAAACTGAATTATATCAATCAAGTTTTCAATGTGACCACCATTCCAGGTGGCTCACCACAACGGTGCACCTCTGGATGGTTTTTATCAGCAGGAAGGCCTCGACTTACGTTTCGTCCTTGTTGGCACTCACCAGTCAGCAAGACATATCTACAATCTTGAAGTTAACTACATTGCAAACTTGACTGATAAGAATTCAGTCTGCATCAAACAAAGGGCTTTGACGGATGACACTAGTGGCTTACTACACAGTGTCCAGTCAGAGTATCCGATGCCGTCCCACAGAAGGTTAATCACCAGTCTGAACAGCTCGATGGTGACATCTCTTACTGCAATACTGGGTGGGGATATGAGTTCTCCTAAGATTGTAGATACGCCTTGCTAACAGGTGAGTGCCAATCACCTAACAGGCTTGTTATATTTTCATAGTACGAATATGTTTGAAGAGTATATAAATGTGCAAATAGCAGGAGAAAATAACTGATAAGTGTCAGACATTCTTTGCACTCCAAGTGAAACATAAGACTTCAGGCCTTGAAGCTTCAGTAACGTTGGTACTGTTTTCCCCCGGGTCTCTTGGCGACTAGTTAATTAGGTAAGATTTAGAAGTGTGTGTGTGTGTGTTTATCAACCGGGAATCGAACCTGTACCTCTCGTATAATTGACGACAGAGTTCTGCCATTGAACCCATGAAGCACATTTCAGATCGGTATAACTAAGTACTGAAATTGTGCATCCACTGTAGATTATTATTACGATTATAGTTTCCTTTAATTCCTAGAGGAACATAGGGCTTCAGCCGTACATCTCGATTGCATTCGGTTCTCCGCCGACGTTTTCACCTGACTCCACGTCTGCCCACATGGTTTCATCTTCTCTTTACATCACCTCCTCCATGTCACCCTCGCATTGACGACAAACTCGCCGCTTCTCATTCGGGTTCCACTCGAGCTTATGAGGTGACTCACTTGATGGTTTGTTTTCTCAGAATATGACCAATCCACCTCTATCCATTGTGGATACTTCAATGATACTTTAAAGGTAACATATCAGCTTTATAATTAAATCTATAATACACTCATTTTAATTAGACTAAAACTTGTACTATTTAAAACATAAATATTCACTACAAATAATAACAGTCGACTGACGACCGTATATATGTAAAAGATATTCAATTAGTGACATCCAATGGATCGATATTATCTTCTCTTTTTTTTAAAACAGAATGTATGCAAAGAACAAAGGTGAATTTTACGTCAATGAATGATACGACGATACTAAGATAGCTTTAATATTTTACTAGAATATAAAAGTATTTTTTAAAAATTCTAATTTTAGCCAATAAAGTAACAGATGAATAGTTGTTTTTATAATATTAATAATGATAATAATGATTAAGTTTGGGATGACTAATTGAGCAGTAGGTTAACTAGAATTATTGATGCTTTAGTAGATTAACATAAAAATGATGACTCATGAAAAATGCAACTGATTTGTGTGAGATTTTTATAATTTTATAATGAGATATTATCTCTCTTATATAAGACTACATATGTGGTTTAATTTCTACTTTGCTTATCGCCATTCGGTTAGCTATCAGTACGCATACATATAACGTGGATAGATGATGAATCATCCCGACTACCTACCTCTAAAGGATCACCACCTTAATGCGTAAGTGCAGGTACAGACTCATTGTTAAAAGGGATAGATGCAGGAATAAAATTTTAGTCAATGCATAAACTCATGAGGAGAACTCACATCACTGTCACCTTCATCATCAAAATTTCGACCCATTACATGACCAGAAGGCGGTAGGCTACTAGAAAACTGAAAAACCGAAGATTAAGAAAATAAAAAAAAGAATACGGTTATCTTTATGCTTGACACAAGTAGAAGGAATTTAACACAAAATCTTAAAAATTAAGAAAAGTGGAAATCAGAGGAAATATTAACAACCAGCTATAAATCTCTCTACATCACAAAAAACGTACAGATAGATTTGTGTTATGCATTAATTAATTATACAAGGCCGAAGCATTAGCAACTTCATTAAAAAACAGATTTACTCTGTCTAGTACCCAAAGTTAAAAACACTACTGGACGTGTAATATCACATTGTTCAACTACTTTTTAGAACAACACCGTATTTACAGTGCAGTTTATAGCCCAACATATGAAACCTGTACATGATGCATAACATTTGTTTGAATGTGTTTTAGTGGGGATGTGGCTCATTGGTTTAAGCACCCAACCTGAACAACTGGGCAGTACCACTAGCTCTATCAAGCAACAAGTGCGACTCAGAGCTGATCGAATGAATAATCTATTCTGAGTAACTCAGTTATCACTCAAAATGTATTCCACTACTTAAAAGTTATTGTGATTTGCCTTTCCAGTCGTTAGCAAGGCGATAAAGGCGAAGTTTCTGACAAGAACGAATAATCGGTAATGAGTTCTATGAATATAACAATATGGTAAGCAGAACATATTTGTCTATCCCCCCTTTGAAAAGCAATTATAAGGCTGAGAACACTTTACAAAGTGCAATGTTTGAGTAGTGAAGCACACAGATATTGGTGATTGATTTAATTAATTACTGGAGTAGTAGTAGTAGTATATGCCCCACCGAAGCAAGTACATAGTGAACCCGAAATGGGTCAGTGGTTCAGGGGTAGAGTACTCGCCAAATACGCCTCATGTGGTCTGGGATTCGATCCCCAGTCGGCGTACTCCTAAGCCTAGCTTAGCCGGTAGCAAAACCCAGTAAACAGGGAAGTAGGGAGTGAGACTAGCAGCTTCACCCTGCTACTGAATGTTCAAAGCCCAAGGTTGAAGCTCTATTTTCTTGTTCAGAACGTAGTGTGAAGGAATAATAGCAATAGAACTTCACCTGTTAGATTTTGTACTTTAGAATAGTGGCAAAAAGTGCACAGTGAAAATCAAGTAAATCACAGTTTCACTGACCACTAGGATATGAAAAATAGTTAGAGTTTTGAATAATTAACTAAATTAGGTGATATATATATATATATATATATATATATATATATATATAAACAGAATTTTAGAATAACAAATCTTGTGCTACAACACAGTTTTGCTTTTCTTATTCAACTGAAATGTCTTGTTTATATTACTCTTTCTAATGCAAAATGAAATTGATTATGAAATCAAAAAATGCACACTATTAGTAGTAGTAGTTCCTGTTGTTTTATTCTTTATGAATATTTAAAATCCAAAGCCTAATCGGATTTCTGCGTGTTGTGCGCGTATACACACACACAGGCACTCAAACACTAGAACAAATTTATACTAATTGTGATATGAGCGAATAAATATATCTCAAGTAGGTCAAAAAACCTGTCAGAGCTCGTTGTATTTAGCATATTGATCAATGTTATAGTGTTGGTGAATCGACTTAACTACCACCCACCTACCAACTAGGAAGTATACATGCACACAGAAAGCACGCACACACACACACATACAGAAATAAACACATAAATGTGAATGGTAAACCTGCTGCCGGATGTATGTAATTACAAATATACACATATAAAATATTGGTTGAGGGTTGACAGAACAAAACAGTTTAGGTAGAAGTTTTATTAACTGTGTACACACTGATGTAATGTTACGCCTGATTTGCATGGGTATTTTTTACAATCACATGTGTTTCATTGAGCTTAGAAAGTTTCGGGTACACAATAAGAATACGTACAATAGGAATCACATTTGAAACATACAAGTGATAATCTGAAGTAATTTGGAGGATGGTGTAGCGGTAAATAATTCCCCAAAATTATTGACCACAGCAATCACTCATTGGATGCTGACCACCACTGTTTAAGTCGACTTGTTTAGCTGAAGGCTTCCGGTCAAGCATCCCCGCCATTTGGTACCCCGTCGTGTCACGTGCACGATCACTAGCTAGCTAAGCGTTCGTCTGAAGGCTTGTTTTGGTCCCGAAATATATCACGAAGTTTGGACGATCAATTATTGGCTTTTGCTTTGTTTTCGGTACGCGAGAATAATTTAGAGGTTGTGTAAGATAATTCCGTCAACACCTCTAAACTGGTAACTAGCAGTGGAATCCAAGATGCGCATTGCGTTATATTTAGGACTGGTCAGATGGATGTGCCTGCGATCCCCAGTGAGTAATGAGGTTTTCGTCGAGGCTCAAACCTGTCATTTCAAACGTCAGGGTCCCAAAAGCCACCTCTTGTTCAACAGGTGTCATTTATTATTTATTTTTAATTCAATCTTGATTTTGCTGTTAATTGATTCGACCGAAGTGTTCGGCCTCAGTTGACACAAGAGATGACTCTCATGGCTTAAGTGGTCAAGTGGATAGTGCCCTGGAGTTTGAAACGATAGATAGTAAGTTCGAGCCTCAGTGTGAACCACATTAGTCAGTAGGGACTGCAGGCACATCCAGCTGACCAGTTACAAATAGGACGTAATGCGTAGTCCGTATTCCACTGCTAGTCACCATTCACCAAATTACTTTAAGTTCATCCTCAGAAATCATTGGAGAAACCGCACAAGGGGACCGACGCGTCAACAAAGGCCGAACATTTCGGTTCTAATCAATCAACTGGAAAATCAAGACTGAGTTAAAAATCTTTAAGTGATAAATTTACTACGTCAAAACAGTTAGCTCAACACTTCAGAATGTCTGTATTTCATTATTCTGTCGAATACCTCAAGAAATTGCAGCATGTGTATGTGTCACGTAATTTACCGGACAAAATACCTTTTTTTACCAATGAAATATTATCACGTGTTGGTTTTCAGGGATTTGATTAGTTACAAGTTTAATCACGAGTTGATCTCAGTCAGAGAATCATTGGAAAGCTGTTTTTTCCTAGTGTAGGACTCTTCAACAATAGGCATCCGTAGGGGTTCAAAACCAGGATCTTCTGGTTAGGGTTACACTCCCAGACCTTCCAACGGTTCTCTGATTGATATTAATTTGTGATCATACTTGTAATAAAATACTATCCACATTAGGGGGAAAGAGTAAACAATCAGTAGTCAAATATACAGACTGATTTCATTTATTGCGTACACAAACCTATGGGGTCACAGTTGAGTATAAAGGAATGATACTAAAAATCTCGAAAATGGGAAAAAAAAACATTTATTCACTATGCTTTTATTTACAATGCTAACTACGTGTTTTACAAATAATTGAAGGTTTAAGTTGTAAGTTTGTGTCACTGGAATTTGTTCAAGTTTGTATTCACGTGAGAACGCTAACAGGTATGAGAATACACAATACAGACAAGCAGTAACTGTCACAATGTATTACTTTCTATAATGAATGGTATATTATTATTGTATCTGTGATTCAGAGAAAAATCATATATAGTTTTATACATTTTTTATGCTGTGTTAAACCATTTTTTGATGTGTATTCGAATGTAAGAAATAAATTACACAGAAATCCTTTTTTGCCTTCACAAATATCTCAAATAGGCTGCAAAATATATAACAGGTGTGAATTATCTAGAACTCTTACTCTCTACATATATATAAGCTATTTAATCTGTATTTTTGAATTCAGACTATTGATTTTTATTACATCTAGGTCAATTGAATTCAGTCAGAGCTGTACAACACAACTAGAACAACAACAAAACAATAACAACGATAACAACGAAACGAACAGCAAGTAGCCCAACACTTTTATGCCCATTTTTACCTGATATTTCTACTACTATTTGTCATAAATCTATTTCATTTTTACAGGTTAACTATGTCCAGAAAGCAACAAAACAAACAAAAAAAGAAATTAATTTCCCAGACGTCTTTTTAGTGTGATGATGATAATAATGTAAACATTGTAATTTCGAGTTGATATTGTATAACTGAAGACTAGAGAAAAACAAACAGGCAGGTGTATATATTTATGATTAAATTTGACCAAGGTATCTGTGTCATTATCTGCAAAAGGGTTGATATAAATATCAGACAATATGGTGGATATAAGTTTGACAGTTTTAAATGGAAACATAAACTGGACAATTATACGCCAGACGCAACTGATGATGATATAAACAGCCTTCGGTGTAAAGCATGGTAGTACTATTCGGAGGAGGTTCAACTACTGTCATTAATAATGTTATGCATTTATTATAGCACAGAATGTTTTTGTCAACTAACATTTCAATCAATATAAGTATAACTGCTATATGTATATTCGAAAGTAAAGGCATCTTTTCCTCCTATTATCCTCAGTATATAAAATACTATTGTGAGGATGTGGCTCATTGGCTTAAACACTCAACTTCTAACCAATATAGCAAATATATTTATTCATGCATCCATAAAACTCGAAATAATTGTGCAAAAACTACCCTTTTCGATAAATTCCTCTGCTGGCTCTACAATTATATATATGTTTATATACATAGAATATTCTAGAATAGTAGTCGATAACAATATTTGTGTTTTTTTAAATAATATCGATTTTTAAAGTGTATCTACCAATTTCACTGCTCCTGTGGAGCCAGTCACATAGGCCGTACAATTAGGCGTGTTTCTCATAGAATTTCCGAACATCATTCTGCATAGTGGTTAAGCAAAGGACAAATAAAATCTATTCACAGCGCTATTCTATCTCATCTTGTGGATACAGAACACAACATTGACGTTAACCATGCTTTCAGGGTAATTTTAACGCATACCTACGAATCTCAATTTTGCCTTAAGAGTTCGACTACTAAATATTGCTGAGGCTGTTGGGATCCAATTTTAACAAGCCTAATTTATGTGCCCAAAAGAAGCTAGTTCAGACGCCGTCCTTACCAAGGCCATCTAGG